CTAATTTCAAAGAAAAATCCATCAATGAGATTAAACAGTGTGCTATGAATGTGTTTGAGGCATGTTCTCATGTTAAGACGCCCATAGAGGTGTTTCCTGGTGTAAAGGTTAAACCCCACTCGCTAGAACTGGAAGGACGGCGTGCGTCGCCTCCCCCTCCTAAGAAAGGTGAGAAAAAGCAGTCTTTTCAAACTAACAATCCACGTCATGAAGGTGCACGCTGGAACAAAAAAGCTCCTCTTTCAGAGGATGAACGTGATTATCGTAAGTGGGGTGTGCGTAGGACGAAAAGATATGGGAACCAAGGTGACCCATATTATCAGGGGAAGTCCGAAAAGGAACCCCCAAATGACGTACTTATCCCTCCTCCACCTCGGACGAAATGAACCGAGGCGAAAAAATCACAAAGTTTCCAGAAACAAGGCCCTACACCTCTGAGCTCAGAAGAGACAGAGAAACTGTTCAGGTTGTTAGAAACTTTGAAACACACTGACACGGGAAACCAACCTGGAGCACTATGCAGTGATGTAATCACTATTAAATCTGAGGGTGCGAATGACAACATCACAGATGTCGGTGGAACACACCAAGACATTGTTGTTGTTGCCTCCAACAACCCCTCATCGGAAGAAGGGGGGGTAAACTCACACACAAACGATGACGAGTCATCGCAAGCTGAACACTCAGAAACAGCTACTGCTGTGCTGACGGTTCAGACAAACCAAGATTACACAGACAAGGCTGAACATGTGAAGAAACGTCAGAAAAAACCTAAGAGGTTTCTGTGTAACTTTATCAGAAGGGGGGTCGCCAAGAAGGCATACCTGTCAGTAACGCTCGAAGGTGTCCTCACACATGAAGCACTTCTGGACGGTGGGGCGGACATAACAATTATGTCAGCTAAACTGTTCGAGGAGCTGAGGACAGCTGCTAGCAGTGTTAACAGGGTAATACCTCTCACAGAATGTGCTATAGAAATGTAGGGTCTCTCAGAGAAGAGGACAACCCTGACAGCTATAGCAATGGTTCACATGCAGATTGGCAGAATGACACTATACCACCCGGTACACGTGTCCGGTGTTGACTCATACCCATTTCTGGTTGGCCAGGATTTTATAAATCGCTTCGACGCGATTATAGATTATGGTGATCAGACGATGTGGGCCAAGGTGAGCAAACCACTGCCAATACAAATGCCTCCGGAGTGTAACACAGACTGCCTAACAGCAGGTACCGCAGAAGGCGCAAAGGACTCCTCAGCCGAGGACACGAGCCCGGTGAGTATTCCTTTGACATCATGTGAAACCAAAGAGACCCACCCGGTGATCCAAACTCTGACCCAACAAGACAGCCTCCTCTGTGAGCTGGAGCAGTCAGAGTCCACCAAACACTATCTACCACTGGTAGTTAAAGGTGTAGAGATCCAAGGGTCCCACACTGACGATGCTGTTCTGTCTCTTTGGACAGATAAATCAGCAATTAACCGAGCTTTCTATGTAACCTTGGTTCACAAACACGTGGGTCTAGAACTAATTAAAAAAAGCTTTCCGCTTTCCATTAGTTCCCAATAGTTCACAGGTAATGACCGCTGAAGGAGTCATTAACCTAAAACTAAACTGGAACCAACGAGAACTGGTTCACCCGTTTCTCGTGATCCAAAACTTACCATATGCAACCTACATAGGCTCTGACATTTTGGTAAGGTTGGGTGTCCACGTGGACACCATCAACAAGGTGCTGTGGTCCCTAAAACCAGCCACAAAGGATCCTCCTGTGCTAGACACAGCAAACCTTAAGGCTGGGCAGACCATTCCCGAGGCCTGCCAGGTTGCTAACAACCAAACCACCACAGTACCACCTCAGGTGATTAACCTAATGGTGCAAATCCACATCGTAGCTGGACAAGCTATTAGCCATAAACAGGCATATTTTCAACCTTCTCCTGCGTTTTTCAACTTGGGACTGTCCGTGGAAGCCACGAACCAAGTGAGCCTTGACTCTAGGACCACATCTATTGCTGTGTGTAACACAGGCACGGATGAGGTGCTGATCCCAAAAAAACACTATGCTAGGATGTTTGATTTCCACTGATTTTCATGATTTTGAACTAGGCATTCCATTTCTGGGAGGACTCCCAGATGACCTGGTACCGAGTCAAGAAGCTGGGCCAGTATGGTTCACAAAACCAACACAGGCCATAGCTCTTTTCTCAACCGATGACGTCGACCATCCATCCATCCATCCATCCTTCCATCCATTTTCTTTACCCGCTTATTCCGTTTTGGGTCACGGGGGTCGCTGGTGCCCATGTCCAGCAATCACTGTGCGAGGGGCGGGGTACACCCTGGACGGGTCGCAAGTCCATCACAGGGCCACATAGAGACAAACGAGACAAACAACCATTCACTCTCTCACTCACACCTAGGGACAATTTAGAGTTACCAATCAGCCTAACATGCATGTTTTTGGACTGTGGGAGGAAACCGGAGTACCCGGAGAAAACCCACGCATGCACGGAGAGAATATGCAAACTCCACCCAGAAAGGTCCCTGGCTGAGAGGCAGCAGCTCTACCAGTTGCGCCACCGTGCTATGACGTCGACCAAGGACCTCAAACCTATGGTGTCTTACCCATAGACAGGTCCGACGACTCAGAAAGGGATTCGTTGGAACTCCCCAAAGAGCAAGAACCCTTATCAGTCTCATCACAGATTGAACAGGTGGTCGCCCAAGCCGACACTCTGACATCTGAAGAAGAAAGGGACAAACTTCGCCAAGTTCTTTTAAAATATGAAAAGTCATTTTCAACTGACCCAGACATCATCCAACTTCAGAAGTTAGATCCTGCAATTAACTCGATGATACTGTATCTGACTGACCCAGACAAATACACTCCATCGAAAGGCGGACTGGATTCCGATCCAGACCTTAAAGTCCTCTTTCAGCTGCGCAAACAGTTAAAACTACTCAAGGACAACCTAACTTTAGCTCATGGAGCGACGTCCTCACCCGTGTTCGCGGTCTCCCATGACCGAAGGGGGGTGACGCCAGTTAGGGTAATGTTACCAGACGTGATAACATGATCAAATCTGACATTCAGAGTGAGTGGCGCACCGAAACGTAGTTTTCTAGTTGCTTAATCACTACTTTTGTCAATGTTGAAACGTTGTTTTACTGGTTGCTTAGTCACTGTTTTTGTCGATGTTGAGACATCGTTCAATTGGTTTTTGGTATTGTTCTGAGGTAAGAATGAGTTTTGTATGTATTTTAGTTGGAGACTGTAACGGACTTTAACTATGCCAACATGCAGTTCACTCGTTAAAACCTAATCTTTGCGGAGTCAATGTAGATTAATGCTACCTTAAGTACCATAATCTACATTGGTCTCACAACGCTTATGCCGAGCCTACTCGAACAATTCTATTCGGGGGGATAGCTAATTCTTTTTGATGAGTCTCGCCATAGACTCCAAAAACATTTATGGGGAAACCAAACACCCAATCTCAAGTCGTTCGTCTAAAAGGACAACAGACAATTGAACCAAACTATATTTTGCCATGTAAAGCTAACTTAAACCAAGTTAGGAATGGAAAAATAGTTTGGAATGCCCTTCTATAGGTATAAATCCCTATAGTTACCCTTTTCAGCATGTTCCACCCCTTAACTGGTAGCTGTAGCTGTTCCCAATCATAATAGCTTACACACCAGGTGCATATAGGTTAAGGCCTTATGTAAAATCCCCTTCATAAGCCCACCTTAAACCACATAATTGCATGACACATTGAACCAGAACGGCACCGACTGGACGTCACCCAGCGACGACCTTCGCTGGAGGAGACCTACAATCCTGACGTTGGTCTCCAACCTGCATCCAGTGGCCGCATCTTCAGTTCAATCCAAGGGAACCCCTCTGTATGCTGATCAATCAACACCTCCATTCGTTGTGGATTTATCGTTATGGATTATATGACTTTTTCCAATGGATTACAGACTTTGTTTCCAAGGGGTTAAAGCATTGCTACAATGGAATTACCAACAACATTATGGAATTGCCAACAACATTATGGAATTACCAACAACATTATGGAATTACCTAAACCGTTGTGGGATTACCTTCTTTGACTTTTGTTTTTCCTTGCTGGATTACATCAAGCTCAAGGACATTCGAAGGCGTAAGTTCATGTTGGAATTCATCCCCATGGACAGGCGATGATTTCCAAAGGGGGGACTGTAGTCAACTAAGCCTCAGGTCAAAACCTGGACCTTCCTGGGACAGGAACTGTTATTTCATTGATTTGAGTCCAGAAACACAAATTAAGCTCATCCAGAGACTTCTAAGTGTGTCCTGCACTAATCAATTGAAATAACACTCTCTTTTTATTATCATTACTAT